CAAGCACCTTTCTGCATCCAGTTCTATATGGCTTGATCCCAAGTGCCCTGAAGTCAGTGGGAGCCATTTCATTGACTTCAGTGGAATTTGGATCAGGCCCAAAATCACAAAGTGAATCTTAAGGGGTTTGTACCATTCTGACTTGCTGTACAAATGCATAGGGTCGTGTAGTGTATGTGCAATGCTCAACTCACCAGGAATGGGAGGAGCGAACTTGCAGCACCTCCCACTGACTTTAACTGGAGTTGTGGGTGTTCAGGCACTTCTGGCAACCAGCGCCTATCACTTGCATCGATTTAACTGCCTGGATTTCTAAATCAGTTTAATTAAATCTGTGCAACCCTTTTCATTGTCACTTTTAAACTGAACAAAGGTTTCTTTGTATTCATAGGCGCCGACTCCATGGGTGCTCCGGGGCTGGAGCACCCATGGGGAAAAATTAGTGGGTGCTCTGCACCCACTGGCAGCCAAGCTCCCTGCCCCACCCCACCTCACCTCCTCCTCTGCCTCCTCCCCTGAGCGCACCGGGTCCCCGCTCCTCTGCCTACCTCCCAGCGCCTGCCGCCACCAAAACAGCTGTAGCAAGCTCCGGGAGGGAGGGGGGAGGAGCGGGAACATGGCGTGCTCAGGGGAGGAGGCGGGGCCGGGGTGGAGACTTGGGGAAGGGGTTTGAATGGGGGTGGGAGAGGGTGGAGTTGGGGCGGGGACTTTGGGGAAGGGGTTGGAATGGGAGTGAGAGGGGGCGGGGACTTTGGGGAAGGAGTTGGGAGGGGGTGGAGCAGGGGTGGGGCCGAGGGCGGGGGGGTCGAGCACCCACCGGCACCAGTAGAAGTCGGTGCCTAGGTTTGTATTGATTTAGCTTCATTTAGTAGAGCAGTGAGTCCCAAACTTTAACAACCTGTGAACCCCTTTCACTAAAAAGTCAAGTCTCGCGAACCCCCTCCTAGAAATGAATACAGTGAAACCCTGCTATACCGCGATGTTTGGGGTCCAAAAAATTACATTGCGCTAAATGCGGGGTCGCGGTATAGCGGGGTTTCAAGCCCATCAGTGGTCCCCAAGGCAGTGCATTGATGTGCGCTGCCTAGTGCCCCTAGTGCCTAGTGCCCAGCACGGGAGAGAAGCTGCGGCCCCGCGCCTGCTGGGGACAGAGAGCTCCAGGGCTGTGGGCGCCGGTGCTCTCTGTCCCCGGCAGGCGTGGGGCCGCAGCTTCTCTCCCCTGCCTGGCACTAGGCGGGGGCACATCAATGTCCTGGCAGCCATCATGGCGTTGGGGACCACTGGTACAGTACATACAGTACTGTATTACTGTGTGTCTTAAAGGGGGGCCAAATTGTGATCGCGTTATATGCGATTTCGTGTTATGGCGGGGCGCCTTATTGCGGGGTTTGACTGTATTTCCAGGGATTTTCTCCTTTGCCTGAGTATAAATTATAAAAGCCGTGATCTTGGAAATACAAAATTTGTTTTCATGACATGCTTATTGCACACGATTTATTATGAATTATTATTTATCATTACAGTATTTTTAGTACATTATGAAAACGGCAACACTCTTCCAAGATCTCACTTTCGTAGCTTGTATCACTTTGAATAAGCCTGTTATAAGACAAGGCTCCTATGTTTCATCAAGGATTATCAGATGTGAAACAGCATGAAGGTATTTAAAAAGCCAACTCAAAAGAGTTCTTCCTACAGAAGCATTCAGGTCTTGAGCAGTCCAGGCAAACAATTAGGGTGACCAGACAGCAAATGTGAAAAATCGGGATGGAGGGTGGGGGGTAATAGGAGCCTATATAAGAAAAAGACCCAAAAATTGGGACTGTTCCTATAAAATCGGGACATCTGGTCACCCTACAAACAATGCACATTACAACAAAGCTTAAACTTGTTCTTCATAATAATTTTAAAAACAATACTAGCTGCCTATTTAATTTTTAAAACAGCAAAAAATATCTACCTCCCTTTCCATTTCTTATAGGAGTCTTGAAGTTTAAATCTCCTCAGTGTGATAGAGATGCTTGCTTTGATCTGCTTAGCTCTTGGAAGTCCAGGGGCAGCTGGTCCTGTGCTGCCTGGGGTCCCTAGGGACAGCTCTGTCCGCCATTAGGGAATTTTTTCCCGAGAACCCCCTGTAACATTTCATGAACCCCCAGGGGTTCACGAACCCCAGTTTGGGAACCACTGCAGTAGAGGTATAAGCCAGGCTTTATTAATGCCCTGATCCCTTGAGTATAAGCGTCCCATTTAGAGGTACTGATAGAGGTGAAAATTAGAGGTGGACTAGGAATCTGTACAGGTATGTGGCTGAGCTGGGTTTGATTTGGTTCTCGTCTCCCATTCCTGTAGGTGCTGGGAAAGTAGCACGGTAGCATACTCAGTCCCATGGTGACAGTCTCTGACCATGGCCAGCATCAGCTGCTTGGGAGGAAGGCACAAAAAACTCTGCAGCAGACAGTGATGGGATAAACTGTCCCCAGGGAAAGAGGCCTCTGAATCCCCAGCAGTTAGATGCCTTATGCCTTTAAGCAGGGGATTTGTAGCCCTTCACAAACTCTTCAGGATGTGTTTCCCTTTAGTATTTACTGTCATTGTTATAACGTAAGGGTGGCCAATCCAGGGATGAGGCTGACCCCTCACAGGTGGTGAGGCTGGAGCAGGAGGGGAAGGGAAATAGCTGAAAATGGAGGGCAGGGCAGGGAATGGTTCCAACAGGAGAAAATGAAAAGCAATGGCTTAAAGGGTTGCTGTGAAGATAAAATCATCTCTGAATAACTCCTTGCTGGGGAACACCTTGAATCATTAATTACAACAACAAATAGACAATGATTCTACTTTTTCACACCACTTACGCTATTTCTTTATCCTCTGAACTTCAATTAGCTTGGACCACGAAAGGTGGGTAAGGTTCACTTTCTCTTCAGAGTTCATTTCGCTTCCCGTTTCTCATGTACTAATGTCAAACCATTGTGTGTGGATTTACAACACTGAGTGGGAGTCTTTCCACTGGGAAAAAACCCTGACGTGATGCTTTCAAACACAATCATGAACATGTTTTCACTTCATATTTAATTTTAAATCAAACTTTTTTTTTTTTTTTTTTGGTCCTTAAATAGTTGCCCCTTTTAAAATAGCCTCCAGCCTCTGCTTAAGTAGTCTGTAAAATGCTTTCCCAACACTGGAGGCTTCCCTTCTTCACCCACAGCTCTGACTGCAGACCTTGACTTTAGTTCCAAACCATTGTTGCCAATACCCCTTAATCCTGAACCAGATCCCCCTACGCTCCTGAAATTTAGCCCCCTCCTCTTCCTTGGCACCTCAGTCCAGACCCAAGCCCTCCCTGCTGCCAATGCAGTTCAGTCCCAACCAGCAGCTTATTATCGCCTAGGCTGACAAGGCATAGGCCTAGGGCGGCAAATTTGCAGGGGCGGCAAATTTATAATAGCAGCATTTTTGTAATTGCGGCATCAGTGATGCCGCGATTCTACCAAAGCACGTATTGAAACCACCAATGACGGCGCAACGCCATTTAGTAAACATACTCGCGAGAATCCTAAACATTAATAATATGACCGGAAGGAAGAAATTAAGTGGTTCTCAGTTTTGGATCCATGCGCGGTCCCGCGCTATAAGCGAAATCATGCTATACAAATGCGCGTTCAAGCGAGGGTCCGCTGTACTTGTAATTTTATTTATAATAAAACTTGTAAATGTTCAATTATTTTAATGATATTTAGATTCATTTTAGTTCAAATGAATTTGTAAGAAAACTAAAAAGTTCATATGGGGCCAGGGGTGGCAATTATTTCAGGGCCTAGGGGCAGCAAAATCATTAATCCACCACTGGTCCCAACCTGAAGCTCCCTACTACTGCTGGTGCTCTTCAAAGTTCAACTAGAAAGGCCTTTTACATTTCCTGTGGCGTCCCCACCTCAAACCTCCCACTCCAGCTCTGTGGGTTTCCCCTCTTTTCTCATTCTATGAGGCCACGTGGTCTAGCTCAGGGCTTCTCAACCTATGGGTCGCAACCAAAATTGGGTCACCAGAATGTGACACAGGGTCTTGTGGGAGGCTGGAGGGAAGCAGGGAGTGTTTCAGAGCCAGCCTCACGCTCGCCCTGCAGCAGTGGTCCCATGGAGCAGGCTGGGCTCGGCTTCCCGCTCCGGGTGTTGTGATCTGGCGCCTGCGGTTGCAGCATTGCTCAGCTTTGGCCCAGCAGCCTCCTGGTCATGCATCAGGTTGCAATTCCGCTCACACAAATTTGGCCTAGTTGGGGCCAAATCTGAGCAGTGCTGCTACCTCAGAGCCCAGCCCTCCCTGGGGGACAGAAGCTACAGGGCATCACCGCTGTGATAAAGTGCACTTAGTACTTATTACGTTAATGTGTAATTAATAAGACAGATATTATTGGCACTCAAGCAATTGACTGGGTCATGACAGGATACTGTTTACAAATGGGTCCTGAGCCGAAAAAGGTTGAGAACTACTGACCTGGTTCATTGGAACTAGGACCCAGAAACTCCTAGGTTCTAATCCCAGTTTTGCCTCTGGCTGCTGTGTGACCATAAGCAAGAAACTTTACCTCTCCTTACCTGGGTTTCACCATTTGTTAAACAGAGATCACGATACTCACCTCTCTACCTTACTAGAGACTAATTAGCTGATGTTAGTGCTTTGGGTCTTCAGTGCATTGTTCAATCTACGGTATCAACAATTGCTAGCTAATTTATCTGAGGAACGTGTTAATCCTGCTACTGTCACTTTAGCCTCTGCAAAGGACCTGAGTGGGTTGTGACAGACGGGGAAGCTCCTCAACCGAGCTGTGCAAAACAGTGGATGAAGTTGTGTCTAGTAAATACCAACAGCTTGGTAAGTGTTGAACAAAAGAAAAAAAAAGCCTCAGTGGGTTAAAAAGAAACTGTGCTCATTTGGTTACAGTTGTGTTTAGTTTATATTGTAATAAATCAATAACAGCTGATCTGTGAGGCCAGCAGCGCAGAGGCACTCGACAGATCGGGTCTGAGGAGGAGTTTGGTCTGAGTAGGAGCTAGGTACAGTACTGAGTGAATTAGTACGTATACGCAGTAGAGTAATTATAAATTAGGTGTTTGCACTGAAGCCGAGTCAGCGACTAAAGGTGAGTGGCTAAGAGGTTAGAGTCAAAAGGAATTATCTATAGGCATGGGGAAAACAGCCAGGCTCTGAGTTAGAACCTAGAGGGTTTTGGAGAAACCTCAGCTCAGGAAGGTAGATCCAGAGTCGATGCTTAATTCTTGATGGTGGGGGCACGTGATCACCCCACGCGCCACCTCTAGGCTGAGGAGCAGCAGCAGAGCCAAGACCACCTGGGCAGCGGCAAGCGAACATCTCAGAGAGCATCTCATGGCAGTCGGGCTCTGTGGGCACGGACCAGGTCCTGGTGGTGTCACCAGCTGGTGCCGGGCTCCTTTAGGGGAGAGGCAAGAGCGTGTCAGGGTGCAGCTCGGAACTGTGCCACCCGTCCTGCCTGGGGAGCGCCTGACCATGCAGAGACATCCTGGCTCGGGGAGCAGGGCAGGGAGGGCTGCCAGGCAGCTGGTGCCCCAGCTCCCAAAGCGCGGAGAGCCAGGGGCTGCAGTGAGCTGGGCAGCTCCCACCAACTTCCGATCCTCTGGCTCCTGGCATGAGTCGACGGTTTTCAAATTGGGGGACTGAAAACCTCTGTGCTAAATGGAAGGCAGAAATCTGGGGGGGGGCGGGGGACGGCACACATGCATTGCCTCTTTGTAGATCAACAGCAGTTTAGTTAGATTAAGGGTACCCTTAGTGTAAATATGAGGGGACCCAGAACATAGCATTCCAGTACCAGGAACTCTGGGCTCTGAGTGGATAAATGAAAGAATGAAGCGACACAGAGCTAAAACAGAGTGAGAGTAGACTGATGATTTTCATTAGAGGTGACCCATCTTCCAATAACAGGATAGTGCAGTAGAGGAGGGGAATGATTTTTCTCATACAAAGAAAAAGTTTCTCCTGGAAAAAAATGGGCCCTGGGGAGTGCACTAAGTAGCCAGGTAAGATAGTTGACAGTGGCAGGGAGTTCTGTCTTTAAGTGTACAGGTGGCAGGGTGTGTGGCCGCTTTAGAGCCCTACTGGAGTAATGTTATTGGCTCTCACAAGACAGACATTGCTGGAAATCTTGTAATTACTTTAGGAATTAAGTTGCTGGTAAAAAGTGTCAGCCAGATCTGAAGGCTGGAGTCCTTTATCTAAACAGGTACAGTGTGATCATTGGCAGTGCAAGCTTCCCCGTGCTGCCCTGCCACTGTGCCTCAACTTGGAGAAAACTGCTTCTGGAGATGAGGGGAAGGTAGTTCAGCCTCCATGCCCATTCAGCCCTTTAGGGGGTGCTAATGGTAATGGATGTGTTTGTGAGGTGGGCGCATGGCCCCTGGGAATTGGACTGAAACCACCAAGGCACTTCCCATAAGCCACCAATCAGCCATCAGGCATTAACACCTGTTATCACTGCCACCCTGGGTCAGATCTGAACCAAAGAACTAGTTGCGGAAGGAGTTTCTCTATCAGGATTTAGCCCTGACAGGCCTTAGCATTGCTCAGCACTAGGTCAAAGTTTTAAACAAACAATCTTCTAATTGTACATGGGAGTGTTGTGATTGAGTTCTCGTTTTGCACTGATGTGTTTAAGGCACTGAGAATTTCAGGAAGGGTTTGCTCTGCTTTGAAGGAGGATCAGACCCCTCTGTGGGATCTTGCTGCTGGGAATGTTTAGATTGTTTTTTATTTTGTCCTTTGCAGCTGAGAAAACAATTTAAAAACTGGACAAATAGTCTCAGTCCCTGCATGTGGCCTGTTCCTGAGAGTGGAAGGAGGACAAGTCACAGGGGAAAGTGTAGCAGGTTCATGGTAGCATTCCATAATAAATATTGTCAAACCGGAACGCTAATCTCTTGAAGCTCTTATCTATATTAGCTGGCTTGTCTTCAAGTTGGCTGTGTATCTGGGACTGGGTGCCAGGAATCCTGGGTTCTACTCCCCACTCATTCCATCGTGACAAGTCACTTAACCTCTTCAGCCTCAGTTTCCCCCACTGTAAAAATGGAGAAAATATTTAACTACTTCACAGGGAAGCTGTACGGCTTAATATTTGTAAAATGCTTTGAGATTCTTTAGCAGCAGGTGGTATAGAAGGGCGAAGTATTCTGTTTTCGTCTGACACGCTCCTCTTTTGTGTTGCCTTTTTGCTAATATAGTGAAAGAACTTAGGGGCTGGCACATTTGTGAAAAGAAAATATTGCAGAATATTAATGGGACATGAATTATGAGATTACCAAAGTAAGTTCTCTGTGCCATGAATTTTAAAATTCAACGTTACACTCAGCCAACTGAGGAACAGAAACCACACCATGTGATCTATATGGCCAGTGAAATCTAATCAATGCAGCTAGAATTAAAATATTGAATACTTGCAATGACCTATTTGACAGATTGGGCTTAATCAAAACTTTTATATTTGATGAAGAATAGAAATTCATCAAGAGGCAACTATACAAAAATGCTGTTTTAAGGACAAACTTAGTTTACTTCAATCTCTCGCCAAGGGGGGTGGGTGAGTGGAGCCTACTCCATTCTGGGTTCTTCATTAAAAGGTCATAGACTAAGTTGTCTTCTTGCAGAAGATGTGATGTGCCAGGCTGTGGTATGATGGACCAGGAAATGCTTAGGGACCAAGGTCAAGGGGATAAAGGTGACCCAGCCCAAGGATAATTTCCCATAATTACTTGGCAAGTAATTTTTAATTAAAGGAATTTGAGAAAATTCCAATCTGAGCATGGACAATTCACAAACAGAAAGAAGTGAAAATTCCTTAAATAAAGGATTCATTAAGAATTATTCACTTTGCTCTCATATTGAACCTCGGGATCACATTGGCTTTATTACCAGCATCTGGCACTGCAAATTCATGTCGGATTTATTCCTCCAGGTTTTTTTAAATCTAGGACAGTAAGCTAGTGAGTCTGATGTAGATAAAGAAAGCCAAAAGTAAGTCTATTCAGACTTCTCTTCTTTAGCCTGGTTTCTTGTGTTAATTACAGTTTCATAAACAAATGACTCTCAGTTTTCCTAAATAGATTGTCCAGTCAGGTACGCAGACCACAACACCACCAGTCCAATTTATCCAAATTATTTTAATACATGAATGAACTAGCTTATATTCACAAAGAGTCCTGTGGCACCTTATAGACTAACAGACGTATTGGAGCATAAACTTTCATGGGTGAATACCCACTTCGTCAGACGCGTGACATGCATCTGACGAAGTGGGTATTCACCCACAAAAGCTTATGCTCCAATATGTCTGTTAGTCTATAAGGTGCCACAGGACTCTGTCGCTTTTTACAGATCCAGACTAACACAGCTACCCCTCTGATATTCACAGTTGGTTTTTAGTTGGACCCAGCATCTTCTAATGGGCATTGAAACAGAGTGATGATTTGTGGCAGAAAAAAGGAAGAAGCAGGTCTGGTTAGCACAGCTCAGTGATGTTGTGGTCAAAGACACCCACGCAGTGATTTTAGTTCAAAGACTCAAGCCTGAGGCCAGTTTATTGACATACATACCAGTGCACTGGGGCGCAGTCCGAAGACTGACACCCCGAGGACCGCTCGCAGGCGGGCTTTTATTTCGTCAAACCGCAAGCAAAGTACAAACAATGCGTCATGAGTTAAGAAATTAGGGTTGGGGTTAGTCCCTCCCCCAAACCGCGGGTTAAGAAAGTAGGGTCGGGGTCAGTCCCCCCCCTCCCCCCGGTACCTTCCTCATTAATTTTCCGAGAAGTGGGTGTTTATTTGGGTAGAGGGGCGCTTGTGGTTTTCCCCAGGGGTGGGACTTGGCACCAGTTTGGGTACATTTCTCAAGACACGTTATTTTCCGGGGTCTTTTGGTTAAAGATTGGGGGGGGGGTTCCATGGGACGCCTAAAGAGGATCTATGATTGGCTATTTTTGCAGATAGCTGGAATCACGGAGTGGGTCACAGATCACCCAAAGGAGAAGCTGCATGAGTTAAGAAATTGCATTTAGCTAAAGTTACCTATTGCTTCACACAAGTGGTTATTATATTTCATTAGTGCTGCTGCTGGGGCTTTTTTTTTATTCTTTCTTGCCCCTACCCCCTCCTCTGGACATGACCCTTGACCGAGTTTGGCAGAAAACTGTGTTGTTCAGTCTTGCTCAGGCTTAGGCCTGCACCCTGGCCTGCACTGCTTTGTGCAAGGGCAGCTAGCATAACAGATCTCTGTTGGAGGGTTTATTTAGGGGCCTTCAGATTCACAGCTCTGGCTATTAAAAAGAAGGCCCCCCCTGCTCTATTTCCCCACAGTGACTACATCTTTTATTGTATGAAAAGGAAGGGGACGTAGTTAAAAAGTTCTTGGTGGTGTCATTTTAACTGAGGTCTGTACAAAGAAAATATAGGTGGAAGTAGTTAGGAATAGTCCTCAGAAACTATAAATCAGGTTTGTGGACATAATTGGATACATATTTATACAGTTTGTGGTAGAGAGGAGGAAAGACAGTCTGGAGGTTAAGACACTGGACTGGGACTCAAGAGATCTAGGTTCAGTTTCAGCTGTGCCACACATTTCCTGTGTGGCGTTAGGCTAGTTGGTCTTTGCATCAGGTGCCCAGCAATAAAATGGAGATATTCCTTGGATCTGTCTTGCCTGGTTAGACTGTAAGCCCTTCAGGACAGGAATGGTCTCTTACTCTGTGTGTGTGTGTGTGTGTGTGTGTGTGTGTAGACTCTAGCACAATGGGGTCCCCATCTCAGCTTGGGCCTCGAGGGGCACTATGGTAATACAAAGTTTTCCCCTTACTCTAGGTTGGCTTTTTCTCCATCCCCTCCCTATGCCAGGCTTCGGGTCCTGCTAGGTAAGATGAGTAGTGCTTTATTCTGTTTTGAAATGTTGGTAAAAATTGCTTGAAACACTGGTTTGAAGTGCAACCTGAGGGGCTGTAATTTTAAGCAGTGCTGTTGGTAGATGCAAAGGTACTGTATGTAGGAGTGAGAAGGATTTGAGCCAGTAGTCAACTAAAAAGGTGAACAAAAAGCAGCTTTGTACATTTTTTTAATACTAAAGTGCACATTAAGCATTGCCACAAGGATTAACATAGCCGTTAATGTGTCAGGCGCAGGAATTCAACTAGAAAGCAGACCTGGAACAATTTGTTCTGCTCATTGCTAGGAGTCTGTTTGACGTGGTATGCAATAGCTCTCTGTTTCTCCCCTAGGGTGACCAGATGTCCCGATTTTATAGGGACAGTCCCAATTTTTGGGTCTTTTTCTTATATAGGCTCCTAGTACCCTCCACCCCATCCCGATTTTTCACACTTGCTGTCTGATCACCCTATTCTTCCCCGCTCACCCCCCCACAATAGCCTGTAGAACAAATCCCAGTTGATTTCACATTCCTGAAATCTGTGGTGTTTGCCCATTATGTTTCCAGATATTCCTGGCTGGCATTGGTGTCTCAGACCATGTGGCTAAAGATCAAGAGTTACTTCAAATCCTTAACGTGGTCTACAAATTTGGTTTTACATCCTGTTTCTTTTATTTTTACTATGGAATTTACAGCCAACTAAAAGAAGCTACTGGTTACTGTACATCAAACTGCTCTGAGACTCCAGCAAGGGATGACCGTCTGGGACAGATTGTAAACCTCTCTGCTTTGTTCAAAACCAACCAACCAGATAAGTGCACTTTTTAAGTTTTAGCAATAATATTTGTGCTCAAAAGAACTCCTTCGTTTAGACTGAATCTATAAATCTTTAACCAATCCTATATTTGAATATTGGACCCACATGCTTTGTAGCTCTACTTTCAGAGATATGACACGTACCACAGTGGCGTAGCCAGCTTCTAAGAGGAGGGGGAGCAAATATAAAAAAGGCGCCCCCCCTTGGCTCCTCCTCTGGCCACGCCCCCTTGGCTCCTCCTCCGGCCACCCCGCCCCTCCCCCCCATGGCTCCTCTGGCCCTGCCGTGCCACCCCGTGGCCCCCCCCCGCTCCTCTGGCCGCAGCTGCCGGCCGCCATGCTGTTCCCCCCGCTCCTCTGGCCGTGCCCACCGCCCCCCCATGGCTGCCGGCCACGCTGCGGGTCGCCAGGCTGCGCCCCCTCCTTGCTCCTCCGGCCACGGCTGCCAGGCCATGCTGCGGGCCGCATGCCGCCCCCCCTGCTCCTCCGGCCACTTTCGGAAAGGCGGGGGAAGCGGCTGCTTCCCCTGCACCACGCTAGCTACGCTACTGACGTACCAGACTGTAGCTGTTTCACGCAAATTAGCTAGATACCGAGTAAGACCGTCCACTTGTAACATCAGTTGTATGTTGCAATTCACAGCTCAGGAGCCTTGGTGGTTGTTACTCCCCACCCCTCAACCCTTAGACTCATCAGTTCCAGCAACCTGTCTGAGCCTTAGGAGACTCATAAAGTTACTCCCTGCCCTGATGAGCGGTAGCAGATAATCTGGCACATCAGGGACCCAAAGAGCTTATTTTGACTTTTTAAAGCAGTGGTGGGCAACCTGTGGCCCGTGGGCCGCACGTGGCCCATCAGGGTATTCTGCTGGGAGGCTGCCAGACAGTTTGTTTACATTTGCATGGCCACCCGCAGCTCCCAGTGGCTGCGGTTCACCGTTCCTGGCCAATGGGAGCTGTGGGAAACGGCGCGGACCGCAGAGACATGCTGGCTGCTGCTTCCCGCAGCTCCCATTGACCGGTAACAGCAAACCACGGCCACCGGGAGCTGTGGGTGGCTGTGCAAATATAAACAAACTGTCTTGCGGACCGCCAGCGGATTACCCTGATGGGCCGCAGGTGGCCCACCACTGTTTTAAAGGCTCAGCAGCCAATTTTGGCTCAAGAACAGATGCCCTGGACATGTTTATACAAAATGTCTATTAAACTAAATTCTTTGCTCTGCTGTTGCCAAAGAAAAAACATTTTTAAGGCCAAAAATTTCAAAAGTGACTAGTGATTTGGCTCAGCTTAAATTTATAGGTGCCCAACTCGAAGCATCTTAAAGGGGCCTGATTTTCAGAGTGTGGGTGTTCAGCCATTTATGAAAATTGGGTCCCTTGAGGGCGACTCAAGTTGGACACTGAACTATAGTGGCACCCCAAATCACTCATCACTTTTGAAAATCTTGGCCTAAAGGGCTGTTTATGTACAGCCTACAGTGTGTTATGCTCTGCTGCAGCAGGAGGAGCAAAAGTTAATTAGCAAACCCTGATACCCAGAGGTGTTCTGACATAAGAGATCACATGGTTGTGTAGCATGTTTTATGCACCTGGGGTTTCTTTGCCCAGTTATATCCAATGGGTGAGGAGAGTAGATCCCGCAGATTTTGATGGGTTATTGGTAAAATGGCTTTAACATTCCCCAAAGAAGCTCCACAAATCCCTGACTTACTTTTCTCCTATCACAGGTGAGCTCTGTTGACTGTGGGATTGGGAAGGACCCACAAGGAAACCTTAACTTCTGAATGCCCACCCCTGTCCTGAAATTGTAGAGGCCATGGGAAAAGCCAAGAAAGAAGAGGAGGCTGTTTTTCTAAGGAAAAAGATCACTTTGCTGAGGGCTTTTTCACTCCTTATTGGCAGCATGGTGGGCAGTGGCATCTTTATCTCTCCAAAAGGGGTGTTGAAAAATTCCGGCAACGTGGGTGTCTCCTTAATCGTTTGGTTTGCCTGCGGGATTCTCTCTCTATTTGGTGGGTGGTGAGTTTTTTTTACCCTTCTTGTTAAATTCTTGGTAGATGGGGAAACTAGCAAATGATATATATCTACAACAAAGGCCTAACTTTACTTCTCCAAGAAAAATAAGCTGGGAACACAATGGACCAAACCTCCTATCTCCTAATGCCATAGAATTGAAGCAGTAATAAGCTCCCGTGTCCACAGGGTTCCAAGGATCTGTTGTTTAACTGGTTTATCTGAGGGACTTGGGGGGAAACCCAAGACTTAAGATCTATGAATGTGGTGCCACATGTGGGCACAGACATGGGAGTAGTTCTCTTGTCTGTGGAATTTCTAGATGCATGGGGGCTGGGGGAGGTTAGGCCTCTAGCTAGGGGCACTAGATGGAGAAGCACAGAGTTCTGGGGACCTAGGAGACATGTGTTTATTTCAGTATGTGACTTTAAATTTTTTCCCCTCCTTAACAGTTACTTTTCCTGCTTTGTGTGTGCAAAAAACTGCTTTGTTATAGTGCTGTGGTTGAGAGTTTAAAAAAGCCACAAGAATCAGGAAATTCAATCATAGAGCCCACAACAATTGTCACTCTTCCTTCTAGTGTTTATCGTATGTAATATGTTGTATTACAGGAGATGTTGTCACACTTATACCTTACTATATATGTATAATGTGGCTTAGCTGAGGTTGCTGTGGAAACATCAACTTTAAAATTTCATTCTTTTGCATATGTAAAATCTCAAACCATAACATCACAAACGTAGATTTCTTTTTAATTGAGTAGGATAATAAATGGTAGTGTTTATTGGTCAGCTAGCCAAACCATCTGCACTTGTGAAGGATTATTCTCTCCACTAAACCTGTAGTGTATCTTGTGTATTCTTGAAAACCTATCTTGGTGGCACCCAAGTGGCTTCCCTTGTCGAGTTACTAAATTTTCTAACTGACTTCATTCTTCAACTATTTCCCCCTAATGTCCAGCTTGAAGACTTCCATTTATTAATGTCACATTATTATTCTTTGCTATAGTGCCTTAAATAATGCTTACCCCCTTTTTATGTTTTCCCTTGAAATGCAAGATTGATACGTGGTTATGGCCCCAATTCAGCAAAACTCTTAAGCATATGCTTAACTTGAAGCATGTGAACAGATCCATTGAAATCAATGGGACCACACATGCTTCAAATTAAGCATGGGTTTGAGTGCTTTGGTGAATCAGGGCCTATATTCCTTCCATTGCATGCAGGTAGGTTCTGAGGGGTTTACAGTTGGGACAGAAGTGGCCAGTTTTAAAATCTATCTTTACATAGCTACAGGAGGGGAAATAGAGAGTATTTGAACCACTTGATTAGAAATTCTCGACATTCTTCTGTATCAAGTTTTTCTTCTTCTTATGTAGCTGCTTCATGGATCTGATCAGAGAGATGTTTCCATGTCCTTGGTTCACCTATATTTCAGGGAGGACGTGTGTGTGTTTGAGGCTTAGAGCTAGATAAATGGAGGAAACGAAGTGTTTTAAAGTAAATCTCTAAGGCAAAGACAAACTTCCTTTCATGCACTTTTCCACATAAAGTCAGCGGAGAAGTTATGCCATTAAACTGACAAGCAGGTCTTACCAGATGTAAATAGATCTCCCCTGGAAACACCATTATTGCAAATAAAGGGATTTGCACTAAGAACATAACAAGAACATAAGAATGGCCGAACTGGGTCAGATCAAAGATCCATCCAGCCCAGTATCCTGTCTATGGACAGTGGCCAATGCCAGGTGCCCCAGAGGAGTGAACAGGTAATGTTCAAGTGATCTCTCTCCTGCCATCCATCTCCACCCTCAGACAAACAGAGGCTAGGGACACCATTTCTTACCCATCCTGCCTAATAGCCATTAATGGACTTAACCTCCATGAATTTATCCAGTTCTCTTTTAAACCCTGTTATAGTCCTAGCCTTCACAACCTCCTCAGGCAAGGAGTTCCACAAGTTGAACTGTGGAACTGTGCACTGTGTGAAGAAGAACTTCCTTTTATTTGTTTTAAACCTGCTGCCTATTAATTTCATTTGGTGGCCCCTTGTTCTTATATTATGGGAACAAGTAAATAACTTTTCCTTACTCACTTTCTCCACATCACTTATGATTTTATATACTTCTATCATATCCCCCCTTAGTCTCCTCTTTTCCAAGCTGAAATGTCCTAGCCTCTTTTTAATCTCTCCTCATATGGGACCCATTCCAAACCCCTAATCATTTTAGTTGCCCTTCTCTGAACCTTTTCTAGAGCCAGTATATCTTTTTTGAGATGAGGAGACCACATCTGTACGCAGTATTCAAGATGTGGGCGTACCATCGATTTATATAAGGGCAATAATATATTCTCCGTCTTATTTTCTATCCCCTTTTTAATGGTTCCTAACATCCTGTTTGCTTTTTTGACTGCCTCTGCACACTGCGTGGACGTCTTCAGAGAACTATTCACGATGACTCCAAGATCTTTTTCCTGATTTGTTGTAGCTAAATTAGCCTCCATCATATTGTATGTAGTTGGGGTTATTTTTTCCAATGTGCATTACTTTACATTTATCCACGTTAAATTTCATTTGCCATTTTGTTGCCCAATCACTTAGTTTTGTGAGATCTTTTTGAAGTTCTTCACAGTCTGCTTTGGTCTTAACTATCTTGAGCAGTTTAGTATCATCTGCAAACTTTGCCACCTCACTTTTTACCCCTTTCTCCAGATCATTTATGAATAAGTTGAATAGGATTGGTCCTAGAACTGACCCTTGGGGAACACCACTAGTTACCCCTCTTCATTCTGAGAATTTACCATTAATTCCTACCCTTTGTTCCCTGTCTTTTAACCAGTTCTCAATCCATGAAAGGACCTTCTCTTTTATCCCATGACACTTTAATTTACGTAAGAGCCTTTGGTGAGGGACCTTGTCAAAGGCTTTCTGGAAATCTAAGTACACTATGTCCACTGGATCCCCCTTGTCCACATGTTTGTTGACACCTTCAAAGAACTCTAATAGATTAGTAAGACACGATTTCCCTTTACAGAAACCATGTTGACTTTTGCCCAACAATTTATGTTCTTCTATGTGTCTGACAATTTTATTCTTTACTATTGTTTCGACTAATTTGCCCGGTACGGACATTAGACTTACCGGTCTGTAATTGCCGGGATCACCTCTAGAGCCCTTTTTAAATATTGGCGTTATATTAGCT